CCTCATCCCATCCCACTCCTCATCCCATCCCACCCCTCATCCCATCCCACCCGGCATCCCATCCCACTCCTCATCCCATCCCACCCCGCATCCCATCCGCGCCCGCGCTTCCGGCTGCGGCCGCCAGGTGGCGCGGTCGGCCCGGCGCGCCGCGGCCGGGAGGGTGGGCGGAAGGTCCCGGCGGGGCCGCGCGGGGCGGCGGGCGCTGGCACCCAGCACCGAGCCCCGGCCCCGCCGTGGCCGCTGTGTTCCGAAATGGGGTCAAACCCCGGGGGAACCGGAGCAGACGATGCGGGGGCTGTGCTCGGGAAGGCGCTCGCCCTGTCGCGGCGCGGGCGGCCCGCGCCGCCTGGCAGGCTAGGGCACAGCAGGACGGACCGGCTGCCGCCGCACGGGCTAAGGCCAGCCGTCCCCTCACGGCTCACGGCCGGGCTGAGTGCAGCTGCCCCGCAGGGAGCAGCCGCGGCAGCCCCGCTGGCGGGGCAGCCCCGGGCTCCGTGTCCCGGCTCCGCCGCGCCCCCGGCCGGTCGCAGCGCTGGCAGCCCCGGCCCGGCCCAGCGCTGCCCCGCAGTGCCTCACCCCGGCTGCCGCCGCAGGGCCGAGCGGGCGAGGGGAGCACGGGTCACGGTTAACAGAATTAAACAGGCTTTGAATAAACTGAACACTGCAGAGGCTAGAAATTGTTGTGCAGGTGGCACGTTAGGAGGAAGGTGAGTGGTGTTATTCAGACAAAGGTAATCCAAGACACCGCAGCGCGGGAGCTTCGACTACCAGGCAAGTACCTTTAAGCTTGTTTACAAACCGAGCCGGCGCTGTCAGCACTGCGAGCCCCCCGCAGCCAGCCCCGCCAGCAGCGAGCCCCGCCAGGGCCGGGCCCTTGGACCCACAACTCCAGGATTTGTGAAATTCCAGTTTGCTTTCCAGCTGCACTTACAGGCTCTCGCTGAAAAAGATGCTAAAAAAAACAAGCCCATTTTATTTAAATACCAGTCTAGCTTGTATTTAAATTTCTTACAAATCTATCTGTAAGATAATAGCCATGAAACGCTGGATGTGTTTCCTTCCTCTCAGCTGATGTTCGCAAGTCGATCCTGGGAAAGGAGAGACTGTCCAGCCAGTTACACAGGAGAAAATGTGAAACAGACTATGAATAAAATGCTGTGCAATTCAAAACCAAAACCTGGGAGAAACAAAATGAAAGATTAAGAAGTTTGAGGGGGAAGGGGGAGGGGTTGTTGGGGTTTTTTTTCATACTAACTCTTTATAGTTTGGGATATTTATGGATATTTATTTATAACTAAGATCAAATTTTCAGACAGAAATGGGATTTTTAATATCAACAGTCTTTCTCAGAAAATTTTTATTGAGGAAACATGCTTGTATGGCTGTGGAAGCCATTGTGATGATTGGAGTAAAAGAATACAGAAGGAGAAGACTGGGTTAAATTAATTCCTGCTAAATACCTACCAGCAGACTTGCTGTCTGTATGGGGAGCTGGAGACAGAATTGTACCAGGGTAAAAAGGATAGTGTGGCTATTTATAGTGCTGCCTTCAACACCATAGGAATTCAAAGGAAAACTCTAACTCAGCACACAGTCTTCTCATCTTCTTCTGTCAAGATTAAATGGGATCTGAGATAATTTCCCCTACAAATCCTTTCTAGGAAGGATCTGTTCCTTTGTGCAGCAAGGAACTACTATGGTACAAATCACTCCAGAGGCCAAGTCCTCCTCACCCAGCCAAATGTCACCACTTTCCTTTTGGTAGTCGGAGGAAGAGGAGAATGAGACCCTTAAAAGCCTCAGCACTTAAGCAGGAAAGACCAAAATGTTTTGCCTGCCATACATCCTTTGTCCCCCTTCTGTCCCCTGCCCTTCTTACACCAGGTGCTCTGGGGGACGAATGGGGCAAAATGTAGCTCCAGCACAATCCCAGTGCCAAGAAGCAAAGAGAGGAATAGGAACACGGTACTGGCACACAGTCATGGTCATTCATGGTGTCACTTGAGATGAGGCCCTTACCCTGTGTGCCCCTCTTGCCACTGCAGAATCAATCATCTCTGGGAAGGAATGGGCTCCAGTAGGTGTGTGGGGCACCTGTTTATCAGAGAAATTAGCTCTAATGTTGAGAGTACAAATGAAAGCAGCTTTGGAAAGGGTATTAGCAAAAACCTGATTGCCACTCTAAAAAAAAAGACACACTCTTGGAGTTCCTTAGCTTCACTCTTCTTTTAGCATCATGGTGCTTCAGATCTTTCCTTCTTATCTTCCACCTTCCAGTTTCTTTTTAATAAGAGCTGGGTTTTTATTCTTCACAAAGCACTATGTACTCTGTCTCAATGCTCCTCTTTTGTAATTCTGTTACCAAGCTGTCTGCTAGGTGGGGAGCAGAAGGTGCAGGACTAGGTACTGCCTTTGAGGTAGAGGTAATTATTATGTGCATCTGTTATTGTGGCTGCTGCCTCAACAGGTGGAAAACTTGCTGTTCTCTGATAGATTTGCAGCACTCCATGCTCCTGCCTTGTCTTTTCTTTAAAGCCAGTCATGTGGTGTTCCTAAAATAATAAACACAGCCTCACTGCTGCCACAAAAACCCCTGGTAAATATATTTTTATGGGAATGAAGTATTAAAGGATTTGAACACTTATTCACTGAAAGCAAAATATGAGCAGTAAGGTTGGGTAAAGATTCAAAGGCTGGTTTGCTTCCTTTCCCTTGGGCACATCAAGGCTGTACTGTTTGCACTTCAGAGATGGATAGTGGGGAATTACTTAACCCAAAATGATGGAAACAATTCAGACTATAATAATATAGCATAAGAGTTTCTCATATTACATCTATTCCCCATACTGCTGGCTATACTTT